GTTGAAGATTCGGGACTCGGATATTCTAAAGACAGCTTTTAGGACCTGTTATGGTCATTATAAGTTCCTCGTGATGTCTTTTGGGTTGACCAACACCCCAGCAACGTTCATGCATTTGATGAACAGTATGTTTCTGCCTTATCTCAACTCATTTGTTATTGTGTTCATTGGTGATATCCTGGTATACTCTCATAGCTAGGAGGAGCACGCCCATCATTTGAGGGTTGTGTTGTAGTGGTTGAGGTAGGAGAAGCTTTATGCCAAGTTCTTCAAGTGTGAGTTTTGGATCAACTCAGTGGCGTTCTCGGGGCACGTGGTGTCCAGTGAGTGTATTCAAGTAGATCCGAAGAAGATAGAGGCGGTTCATAGTTGGCCCAGACTGTCCTCAGCTACATAAATTCATAGTTTTCTTGGTTCGGCTGGTTATAATCGCGCCCCCTTTTTTCCTCTTCACATCGAAAAATCAGGTTTATGACATTCGGTATGGGACAACTCATTCCTTTTAGGACTGGGGTTTGTATTTGAAGAGCAGCCACCTAATTATTTAAGGTGCATTAGGACACCTATAGGGTTCATTTCTAACTATGTTTGGACAACCAGAGATAGGGTAAGGGCTTGAAATTATCCCAAGGGGAAGGTGTTAGGCACCCCTCAGGATCCACTAGTGTGGTTCCCGGCCAAATAGTTTTATAAATTTGTACAATTGGCAAATAGGCAAGTATTGGCTCAAATAGTAGAGGATTTAAGTTTGAATACACATGTAAGAAAACAACTAAGAAGAGGTGAGAAAAAGTTATAATTTAAACATACTTTTAAAAGGGAAGGGGGTCCTAGATTTGTTTGTAACATGGATCACGTCAATGCAATGCCCGGTATGACACTCCTCAAGAGAGGGGCTACACATGGTATTAATGCACCGATAATCATATTCATGTCTACCCTTTCCCACCCTGTAAAGGTAATTAGAGCGATGATTGGCCTCGACTCTTATTGCATGCTGCTACCCGTCCCTTCCTATCAGTCCCGGAGAAATTTTAGGACTCCTATTCCTAAAAGAAGGAAGTTCTAGGCAGACCTCAGGTTTAAAGGTAAAAATACTAAAGCGACATACAAAACATGTAAGACTGCAATCAAGGGAAAACATGTAGGCAGATAGAAGGCTCAGTTATACCTCCACAAATAATGCACATAGACAGCATGACGTATACACAGTCAAGGTCTAAATTTAAAACACTAAAGCAGGGTTTTTAAGTTGTTGAAGCAGAACCAAATTTATTACGTAACTTAGATAAGAAGCCCGAATCAGGCCTGTCTGCTAGTTATAGTAGTTGATAATTAAATAAAGGCATTTCAATTATTGTTCGAATTATTACCTAAGGCTTTCCTAGGCATAATAGTGATGTCCTATGAGCATGATATCTATATTGATTAGGAATGCAGTAAAATAGTGATAAATTTTAAACGGACAACTTGAGATCCTATAGACATGCTTTCTAACTATATTAATTTAAGGCAGTGTTTGAAACTTATTAAAGAAGCGACAGATTAATGAACAACGTGAATTAAACTGCTTCTCCAACTAAACTGGTTTTAAGTTCTATAGGCATGATTTCTATTATAGCTGATTTTAATTCCTATAGGAATGATATCCAAGTATTAAAAGCTGATTTTAACCCTATAGGCATGATCTCTATTATTAAATCCATTTAGATCCTATAGACATGTTATCTACCCAATTTACCCACAATACACAACTACCCACTCTTTTTACCAGTTAAAGGAGCAAAGTGCAAAAAAGAAGTAAGGCAATCAGTGTTCCAAAGTCAAGCCTTGGCTTTCAGCCGGCTAGACAAGGCAATAGCACAAGTAATAGAGAAAAGAAAGAGAGTTTTAATGTGTAAGTGTGTGTTTTTTAACTCTGTTGTTCGTGTTTTGTTAGTGAAAGCATTTGGGTATTTATAGTTTTGAAAACGAATAGAGAATAAGGTAACAACATGGAAATAATCACAATCAGAATCAATTAACACGAGTACTTCCCTTTAATCAAGGGATTACTGCTCAAACGGATACTAACAGGGTTAATTAAGGAAAGAAATCAGTTTGAGAAAGATTGATTTCTAACCATATAAGGGATATTGAAAGTATAAGGTAAATAATTGAGTCTAAGCACAAAATATACTTAATTGGGGAAAAGGATTCAGCAGGGGTACAATATCACAACAAATAAAAGAAAGGAATCAATCAATTCAATTAAACAGGTGGTATTAGGGGTTTTATAAGAAAATATTTGCAATTAGTCGTAACATTGAGGAAATCAAGATCAATCAAGAAAGAATCATTATTCTACACTTCAACATATAAATAACAAGGAATGAACAAGCATATTAGACATGCAGGGTCAAACATATTGACAAAAAGGAGCAAATTAAACATACAGTAATAGTAGGAGTAAGCTAGGACTCAGTAGTAAAAGAAACCAACTCGAAGCACAGTAGTCAACAAGGTCAAGTAGTCACATAGAATCAAAAGTGAAGAAAACATAGTAACAGGTAAAGGAGACCAACACACAGAAATAAGAATAATCTTTAAATCCATAGTAATAAGTGAAGAAAAGATTTATAAGGAATTAGGGTTTTGACAGAGCCGAGTTTTAAAAAGTAAGAACTTTAGAATTAGTCAAATTAAACAAAGAAGAGTATCTAAACATAAGGAACTCAATCGAAACTAACATGCGTATAAAATAAACAAAGAGTTTCAGAACCCCAAGTAGAACCAAAACACTTAGGGTTTTAACACGATGAACCAGATAGAAGAAAAACATAAGCAAATCATTTAAACATAGTAAAACAACACTGAAAATCGGAGAAAAGGTCTTTAAAAAAAGTTTCAAGAAACCCTTGTTTGAAAACGAAGAGTCACCTGAAAGAAAATCGAAGAACTTTTGAGAAAACGTCAAAAAGTTCATAACATACATATATCTAAGATAGATCTGAAAGAAAATCGAAAGATCTTAAAAGCTAGGGTTTCAGAGAACCCCAAAAAAGTGAGAAAGACTTTGAAAAGTTACTGATCTAGCCAGAAAAGCCATTGATCTGACTCGAACGGTCATGAGTGGCTAGAAAAAGATCAGAGATAGAGGTTGAGCAAGGAATGGACCAGATCCCTTTGAGATCTGTCCATGAAATCATGGAAACAAACACCCAGGAGCCATAGGAGACCGGTACGCCTCTTAAACAGCCATGTGAGTCCATGGATTAGGTAGGGATTGAAAGGAATTAGGGTGAAATTGAGTGGCGACAGCTAGGGTTTAGGTGAAGTTGCAGAGAGAGTTTCAGAGGAAGGGATTCAAGGGAGGCGGATTGTAACAATGAGAGGGTTTGGGGGGTCGTTTGGAATTAATTAAGGTAATGTGTAATGGTGGCCGTTGATCTGAATGATCAACAACCTAGATTAGAAGGGGTAGGTGGGGATCCGGGTTCGGGTTGGTTTTAAAAAGGGTTAGGTGCGGGCTTTAATTGGAATTGGGTTTGATTTGGAGTTAAATTGAAAACCAATTTGGGCTAAAATTTAAATAGCCACTTTTCCTTTTTTAATTTATTAAAAATAGCAAATATTTTCTGAAAAAATAAATTGAAAGTACTAAAATGATTTATAACACATAAATAACAATTTAAAAATACAATACTCGATTTTATGAATATAAAACGTAATTAAACCTTAAAATGGCTAATATTGTAATTATATGCAATTTAGCTTTAAAAATACTAATTACAATTGTAAAAATATGTAAAATTACCTTAGCCATATTTTGGCATAAATATAAAAATCCAATAAATGAATCATCAAAAATAATAATTTTGGACATAATTATTGGGATTTTATGGATGAAAAAGGGAAATAAATCAATTTAAAAACCTTAAAGAATTATGGAAAAATAATAAAACATTTTGACATGCTTATATATGCTATTTTGAAGGTATTTTGCATATTGAAAATATATAAGAAAAAATTGGGTATCAAAAATTGGATATCAACAACTGCCCCTCTTTACCCGGGAAGGATGAAAGAGTTGTCGGGTAAAGATATGATGGCCAATTTTGGCCGAGCGAAACGTTTTGAAGAGGTTTAGGCTGCACCCTAGCTTCTGAGTTGCCTACATATCCCTGATTTTACAGGAATCAGGCCATATATAGTTCAGGATCCATCGGCGGAGTATACCGATGAAGTCATTTCAAGAACGGACGCAACATCCAGGGCTAAGTGAGTAAACGGTTTATGGGAATGGTTAGGTTTGATATGGCCGAGGGAAACTAGAGCGCGATCGCTCCTGCTGGGATAGCCATTGCTCACTAGGTTACCTGCCAATAAATAATACAGGCATATATTGCATAATTTAAACATGATGCAAATTCCCGTTGGACCACTACAGTATTTTAGGCCTACAATCACCCCTGAGAAGTGTGGCCTAAGATGCCAAGAAGTGTAGCATTTGGGTAAAGGCAACACTTTACGACTTTAGGCAATACTTTTTGGGGGGTGGCCTAAAGTACCATAACCTTTGACTATTAGCCACACTTTGTAGGTGTTGCCTTAGAAGCCACGCTTTAAAAGTGTGGCCGATATGGTAAAAAGGCCACACTTATATTTTCTCATATAGCCACACTTTTGTGACATAAGGCTACACTTATAAAGCGTGATCTTTGTCACGTTATAGGCTACGCTTACAAAGTGTGGCTTCTAGAGCAACATTTATCATTAACAATGCCAGATTGACAATCCCTATGGCCACACTTTCTAAGCGTGGCGATTTTGTCTACACTACAAAATTATTTTTCAAATACTTATATTAGCCACAATTTTGTGGTTAAAAAACTATATTTGTTTGCATCAAGTTCTCTCTCTCTCTATCTGTCTCTCTCACACACACACACACACACACACACACACACACATATATATATATATATATGAAGCATTAATTTAAATGATAAGTAATAGAATAAAAATAATTCAAATGCATATACTTGAAATAAATTTCAACAAAAGAAACACACTTTGTGTACTATCTATAGTAATAAAGCAATGTTGGTTCAAGAAGTTCACTAGCAAAGACCTCTACAAAATCAAATGTACTCATATTTAGTGTCAACAAAAATAAACAACTTGTTCAAAAGGTCTTCACCATTCACTTTAATGATTCAAATTGATTTGTGGCCACCATTTCCAATTGCATCACATGTATTTTCCTACACAATAAAAATGAAAAAATTAGGAAACAACACACACACACACAAAATAGTATAAAAATTAGAAGCTACAATTTACAGACCCTTCAAAAAGATTGGAATACTCTTGTCAAATGCAAACTTTGATATTTTCTTTTTGTGCCTCAAATCATTGCATTAAACCTTGTGTGCTTATTAAGAAATCATTATACATGAACTTAAAATATTTATACTGTTCCAAAATGATCTCATCAAAAAACAAAATACCTATTGAGATACCAATAACCAACTCTGTAAATATTTTTTCTATAGTCTACTTTCAAACATTATGACCTCTAGAATCTTAGTCATGGCAATAGATTCAGTTTTCTATCATACACTTATAGAAAGCATGATTTTGTACGTTTCTTATGATTGAGGTAGTTTTTGGAATTGTAAAATATAAATACCTTTTCAATACTCGGGGCATGAGTTGAGCCAGAACAATGTTGTAGATTTTTTCCTCTCATAGCTCGTGCAATACTTGCATCAACCGGTAAAGGAATATTAGATCCACCGCACCCTTGTATATCACGAAAATCTAGTCCAGGGTTGTTTTTCACCAATTGACTAAAAAAACATCGCATTTCTTCCCTAATCATTTCCTTCATTTCTTCCTTCAGAGAGTTATTTCGTTGACATGCTTTTGTTTAAGCTTGGTGATTTCTTCATCTTTTTTCAGAGAGCTTGTCGTCACCGATCTACCATAGCATCTAACCCGACCAGGCTGCTCCTTTCCAAATACAACCCTAAACGCATCATCTGCTATTTCTTCAGAACTTTGGCGATTCTGAAGTTCAGACTGTCAAAAAAATATTATTACACATCACTTACAAGTCAAGATAGATCGAACACTAAAATAAATTTTAACAAGTCTAGTCAGATTAAACATACCTCAAAATTTAGCCAAGAATGTCAATAGATTTTCCAGTGACAATGATCATAACCATTTTACTATGAAGTTTCATTTTGTATTTTCGTGTTACTTCCTAGATGGAATTCATTGGCAACATCCAGCACAATCTAACCGTATTCATTCTTAGTGACCAAAGGAATTGCTCAAAGGAGCAAACCTAAGCGCTTTTGTAGTTTTTAATCGGAAAATAGGTGTTAAGTTCAGAAGCAGTTAACTCTTGTCCAAGAAGGAAATTTGTGAACATGTACCAAATAGCGATAGCCTGCAAAATGTTTCCTTTGCTTCAGATAATGTACTATAAGACCACTTAGGTATTTGATAGATTAATATGAATGAAGAAGTCTCATCAAATGCAAAGGCGGCAGGAAAAGTTCAGTTGTTAGCTGGGTTTGTCAGTCTTTCGTATGAGGTACTTAATTTCTTCAACCTATGAACTAGCACCCAACTTCCCAACTTCTTTTCAGCTATTTGCACATAATAAATCAGAACCGTGACTAGCACTGGATATAGAGAAATTAGAGACAAGTCCAAAAATTAAGAATAAGTTGAACCAGATATACCACCTATGAAAATTCCTGTTTATCTGGTTAATCCTATTTAAACCTTGAACTAGATATACCACCTATGAAATTTCTTGTTTAATCCTACAGCTGCTACACAGGCTTCATAATCACATCAAGGGGATCATGAGTATGTTGAAAATCCGTTTAAGACATCACATGTAGCAGTTGTCGCTAGTACTGCTATAGTACCTGTTGAAACAGCTTTTGCTAGATTTTCACAGGATGTAGCTGTTGTTGGGCAGAGTAACTCATGTCCAGTCGCTATGGACAATGTTATACTTACGAGGAATAATGAGAAGAAGATGGAGGCTGTGCAAAATCTTGAGAAATCTAAAGTCAAGGTGCAGCGACAAGTGGAGGTTAACGAGCAGGGTGTTGCTACAGGTCCAGGTCCTGGACAAAAAGGACAAGGGCAAACTAATGTACAACAGTTTGCATATGAGAAGGCAAAAGCTGGTGCGACAGATGGTGATCGACCTACTGTTAGATTGGGTAAAACAACTGATAAATCAACAGGTGTGGAAGCTAAAGATGCTACTCATCCAATTGATAATCAATCTACTACTGGTGCACAAACAAATCTTTTGAAGGATGGGAGCGAGCAGGTTGTGCAAAAGGAAGATTCACGAGAAGCCGCTGAACCTAAAAGTGACAAGGAGGATCGTGAGATTGCTTTGCAAGCTAAAAATTTCAGCAGTAATGGGGAAACTGCTGGATAGGTTACTGGATCAAAGGATGTTAAATCTAAGGACAATGGAATAGCAAGGAAATCAACTAGGGAAGACTGGACAATGGTGGTTCGAGCTTCTATTAGACTGGACAAGTATCTGCTCCAAATGACTACTTCTGAAACAAATAATATCATCTACTTCTGAATATTTATTTTCATTCAACATTTATGACTCACAGATACAGAATGGAGAATTCCGTGCAGGTAACATCATATTAAAAATCTTGTGCAGGTACAATCATATTATTTGAGAAGGGTTGACAAATATCTAACATCTTGTACAAATAAAACCATATTAAAGAAACACATTCAAGAGAGAAAATACAATAACAAGACTTAACTTGCAGCATGACTTACTATTGCAACTTGAGTATCCGTATGAACTTCCTTCCCTTTCTTTGTACGAGTTGTAATAAACATTTCAGACTTTAATGGTTCCTCGTTGTTCTCTTTGGTTGCGTGCTACAAATTACATCAAAGAAGATATAAAAAAACATCACTATGTTTCGACAAAGTACAAAAAGAAATGAAAGTCAGATTACAAAGTGTCGACTAAATATTAACAATGCCACACACACTCTTGCAAAACTAATAGGTCCCATTCGATGCCTCCACTTTTGTTTTTTCCTATTTTCAGAATTTAATTGGCACATAGCCTAACAATAAAAGAAGCATATTAATTAATAAATCAAAAAGGAAACAATATACTTATTGCTAAAAATATAATTTGAATGTGGCCTTTATTGCTTCTATTTTTTCACTAATATTAGTAGCAGCAGTTGAAGGCAGAATCCCAGGTGGCCATCAACTTCTTAATTTCCGACCATCCTTTATTGCTACTGGTGCATTAATCTATACAGCTCAGTACATACTATATGGTGTTAGACAATGTATTAAGGCTTGCAAGTTGCATACAAAATGCTCAAAGTATCAACCTCTATGAGTGGACTAACTCTACATCGTATTAAGACTGTAATTAATTTCTCAAGGTTGCTCTGATATTGACAGCTCTACTAAAACTATAGTAGGTAGCTAACAATAAGTAGAAAATGTAGAAATGTAGAAATGCCATTTGTAACATACTGCAACAATAGGTAGAAAATGTAGAAATGTATGGTTTAATCTTACATGGACATCTTCGTAATCCCAATACTCAATCAATTGACGGAATTGAACTTTGGGTATCTCATTGGGACGATTTTGTAGAATTTCGTCAATAGTAGCATTTTTATCAAAATATTTCTTCTTAATATTTCTCTTGTGTCACTTCCAAGCATCACGAAGACCAGTCATTACCCACTTCTCTCCTTTAGCTGGAATTAAGAACTTGGACTGCAAAACAACACACAAATATATATATATATCTTTTCTTAGTAGGAAAAATACAAAAAAATATATAATTGAAAAATTAATTATACTTACATTGACATATTCCCACATTCGTTTCTTAATATTCTTTGACACAGCATGCCAACTAGTATGCACCAAGGGATAGATCTTGGATTCCTTGCAATTGTTCCTAAAAAGTTGGTCAAATCAGACACTCTTTTGTCAGTTGGTCCAACTGCTTGTCCTTTATCAAATGTCACCTCCTCTCTTTCTTCAAAACTTCATGCATGAATATTCTTACATGTTGTTTTCCCTCGAACTCTTTTCTTCTCTGATGTCCCTAGATTGATTTAACAAGCAAGACATAAGAAGAAAAAAAATCAAAATATGTAGAATAATTATAAGGTTTAAGACATACCACCTGCAGCACCATCGATGTTCATCTCCTCATCTCCAATAAATTCATCGTCACCAACTTCATCTTGTGCATCATTATTATCCAATTCTATTTCACGCTCATCAATAATAAGAGAGGACATAAATCTGACTTCATATTCTGGGTGATTATCAGGATGTTTTTCACCACCGACTTGTATCCCATATTTTTTTAGAAATTGATTAACACTCGTCGACGGTAGGACTGAGTTTGTCATTAATACTTCGCAATTTTGTAGCTCTTGAATATCAAGTTGTTTCTCTCCTCCATCTTGTGTTCTTTTAAGAATATGTAAAGTGTTAGGATCTACCTTTGCAGATGATTGGATCATGGATGTGGGCACAGGTAATTTACTTGTTCCTTGCTTTTGAATGGGCTCCTCCAATTGAATTGACCTTTGTTTAATTTGTCCTTTACTTGCAATACTATGTGAAGTGTTCAGATCTTCCCTTGAAGACGATTGGATTGATTCGTACGCCGGTAATCTATTCCTTTATAACTTTTGAACTGACACATCAGATTGAGTTAACTTCTATCTACTTTGTCCTTCTAATGTTGCAGACATACAATTCTTTCTTTTAACTCCAAGTAATGCATGCTCTTTAGTAGCTTTATCGTTGCGATCACTTGCAAGCTTTTCTCTCTTAATCTGAAATTTTTTGGCTAGTTCAGCACTTGATCGGTATTGGAAATCGAAACCTATATTCTTCATTGGACTTTGAGCTTTGTTTGGATTCAGAACTTTTCTCTTAAGAGCTACCGCTTGATTCATCCTACATACAAAAAAAATTAAATTACTTTAGCCTAACAACTAGTAAGAATATATAACAGTATGTGAGAAAGTAAATATTTAAGAAATAAGACACATAACAACCCCTAGTCTACATTTGTTTTATTGACCCTTTGTGGAGGATCAACAAATTTTTGAACATAGGATCAGAAGCTATAATTGATCAGAGTATTAGAAAAGACCATGAGAACCAATGTCAGCAGCAGCACCAGTTCCTGCCTCCTCCCTATGTCTTTGTATAACCATACAATTCCCAATTATTACCACCAGAAGATACTTTTTATGTGTTTGGCTTCCGGTGCATATAAATTTCTCATAATTTCTTTCACCTGTTAAACCTAAAAGAAACTTCTCATGTCATCATTCCCATTAGAGGTACACCATACATGTTTCCTAAATTTAAAAGTTTGAATAGTTAAGGGCAACCCGAACTGCTTCTCAAGAGGCCAACTAATTTATACAAAGTTTCCTGGCCAATATGCCCTAATACATCCCTCCAACTAAAAATAAATGATATGAAAAAATGGCAGTAAGTATGCCAAAAAATGGCAGTATAACTGAAACGAAAAATGGGCAGCATTTCGCTACAATTTATCACTGAAATAATGTAAGAAAATGAAGAAGAAGAAGAGGAGAATGAGAAAAAAGAAGAACTGAAGGGGAAAAAAAATTTGCCAGCATTTCGCTGCTATTTGGACACTGAAACAGTGAAAGAAAAAGAAAAAGAAGAAGAAGAAGAAGAAGAAGAAGAAGAAGAAGAAGAAGAAGAAGAAGAAGAAGAAGAAGAAGAAGAAGAAGAAGAAGAAAAAGAGGAAGGGGAGGAGGAAGAAATCACATACCTGGGACCAAACTTGATGATCTTGAAGTTAAAAAAAGAGAGCTTTTTTAATTAATTAACGTTGGCAACCCAGCTATAAAGAGAAGCGCTCACTTCTGTCGCTTTGTTCGCTTCCTCGCTTCTCGCTTTTTCAGGGAAAGCGATCGCTTTTGTGTACCTGATACGCTTCAGATCAAAGAAGCGCCAGATGCCTCGCTTTGCATCGCTTCTCGCTTTAAGCGAGGAAGCGGTCGTTTTAACAACACTGTTTCCAACAATTACAAAATATGGAGGATGGAATTGTGCATTCTGTCATCGTCATGCATAACCTTGGATTAACAAGAAACCTATACTGAACTGAAGCATGGTTCATGATGCTGCAGAACATTTATGCTTGTTTCCTTTTCCTACTTTAAGAATTACAAGCTGGTGTTCACAATAGGTTACAATGATTATTTCAACAATAATATAGGAACTAGACAGAATATGCACTGAGGCATGGGGAGTGAAAGACCAGAGATATAACTGCTGAGAGGTATCAGGAAATAAGGGGACCATTGAAAACAGATCAATGCATATCAACTGAGATATTCAACTCTTATTTCATTTGTTATTTCCAATCCATCCAACATTGTTCTCTCATTATATTATCCTGCACTTCCATAGGAACCCACATCCTTAATCTTAAGGGAGGTGCAAGTTTAAACCATCATCAGAATTCCCTCAAAGAAATGAACTCTAATAAGACAACTGAGAGCCCTTACCCAACAATTCTCTTGGTTCCAGAGGATATATGAAGATATGTAGATAAACAATTTCAGAGCATATATTTATTACACAAAGTTACAAAGATGCCCGTTCAATATCTCTTGGTTCCTTAAAATTTGTTAGTCCAATATCTTCTTTAGTTGCATGTGCACCACCTGATAATAATAAAAAATAAATATGTATATACTTTAAAACTTGCTCTAATACTCCAGTTAATAGTACAATACAAATTCCGAAGCATAATTTCTACTTACTCACGTTCACTTTTCTATTCAAAACTAGAGGACAAATTCTCGATCCACATATAATATAATATGGTTCTTTAGAAGGGACACATTGAATAACCAATCAAGTAATTTCTAGTGATACCAAAAGGGACACATTAAAAATACACGAGCAATAAAATATATGTGCACATAAAAGAAATTGATAAGCAAGAAAATATTCAATATTGAACTTGACGAAATAGACAACATCAATTTAAAACTAAAGCAACAGTCTTTAATGTATTTCTAGCTATTAATAAAAAAATAGCAAAGCTATTTTCTACTTGAATTAGAAAAAAAACTGATGATGTGTCTTCAAAATCAAACTCTTCATCCGATTCAACTTCAAGTTGTTGTGCTAGAAATCCTTCTGGAGGTACATCAAGAATGGTTGTTGGAACATCACTCCTTACTAAGGCAACTTCACCATTATCCACCGGTATAGATGGGCCAGCCAAATATTCAGATGGCTCATTTTCATAGCACTGTGGGGCATTAGATGCAAGTTCATCACTTAGGCTAAACAAGTCTCTCGGGATAGTCTTCATAACATAATATCTATCTTGATCATATGGATCTTGCATATAGAAGCATTGGTGTACTTGAGATGCTGGGACAAAAGGCTCGTTCTGATAACATTTCTTGTTGAAGTAGACATAAGTAAGGCCATAAATATCTTCTTCAACCTCATACCAGTCGCACTTAAATAAGACAACCCTAAATGGCCATAATAGTCTAACTCAACTATATCAACTATTCTACCGTAATAAGTCAAATTTGCTTCAACTGGATTTTTATCTTTTGAGCTTGCAAAACTTGTAGTTTGGGCGACTAATGTAACACCACTATTTTGTGTTTTACGTCTTGCATCACGCTGCCTCGTATGAAATTTATATCCATTAATGAGATACCCAGAATATCTTTTAGCAATTAAATTTGGTCCGAAGGATAATTGCTTTATAAGATCGGGCAAATCCTCTTTCAAAGAACGAGTTTCAAACCATTGAGAGAAGTTTTGACTATACTTCTTGGCCTTGCTCCATTTAGATCCTAGTCTCTGATTACTAACCTCAACCTCATATTCTCTACACAACAAGTATTTTTATTTGTTAGTAAAATGATAAATAAAGTAATTTAATAACAATCTACATAAATAAATGATATAAGTAATTAAATTACCTTATATATTCTTGAACTTCATCACAATTGTTTAATAAGTATATATGTGTCTGATTTAGTGACATGTCATCTAAAACAATTGGATCACTCTTTTTAGCTCCTAAAGGACAACCTGTATTAGGGAATAAACTAGAAGATTGTGCATTAATTGAATCATATTCATCATTGTTTCAGGGTCGTCGATTAAATCGAGTTTTTACACCTCCATGTAAGTACCTAGAGCATAAAGTCAAACACTCTTCAACCAAATATGCCTCAGCAATAGATCCTTCTGGATAATTTCTGTTGCGAACATATGATTTTAATGTACACATATACCTTTCAGGAGGATACATCCATCGATTTTGAACTGGACCTCCCAACCTTACCTCATTTGCCAAATGAATAGGCATATAAAAAAAATGTTGGAGGAAAAATTCTTTCCAATTGATTCGTTGTTTCTCTAATCTCTACTTCTAAGTAATATAGCTTTTCCATTGTGATAACTTTTTTACATAAACGACGAAAGAAAGAACTTAGACGAATCAAAGGGATAGCAACATGATCAGGAAGTATGCTTTTAACTGGTATTGGCAACAAGTAATGTAACATGAAGTGGGCATCATGGGTTTTATAACCGGATACTTTTCTTTCATCTAGCTGTACACACCTGGATATGTTAGAAGCACTACCATCGGGTAGCTTTTCTGTCTTTAAAACATCACAGAAAACTGATTTCTCACCATTGATCATTGAGAAGCATGCTTTTGCAAACTTTGTTCTCTTGCCATCATTTGTTTCCTTTGGTTGAAGGTTCTTCCTAATGCCCATCTTTTTCAGATCATAACGAGCATTTGCATGATCCTTTGTCTTGCCAGGAATGTTCAAAATAGTTCCAATTACATTATCCACTATATTTTTCTCTATATGCATTACGTCAAGGTTATGACGTAACGAGTTGTGCTGCCAATAAGGTAATTCAAAAAAATATTGACCTTTTTTTCCAAGGGCCATCATTTATTCTCTTTCTCTTATTCCCAAACACATTGTTAAAATTTCATAAGCTATTAAGCACATCAGTTCCCTTTAACAAAGGCGGAGGAGGCCTAAATTCTGTTTTTCCATTGAAATACCTTTTATTAGATCCCCAAGGATGATCCATAGGCAGAAAAACACGATGATCCATATAATGCATTTTTCGACCATGTTTAAGAAAACGAGAATTAGTGCCATAATTACAACATAGGCAAGCCAACTTTCCCTTTGTACTCCAACCGGATAACATAGCATATGCAGGAAAGTCACTGATTGTCCATAAAAGAGCTACTTGCATTTGGAAGGTTTGATCTCTTGAAGCATCATATGTTTCTACTTCAGACTCCCACAAAACATTTAACTCTTCTATTAATGGTTGTAAATAAACGTCAATGTCATTTCCAGGTGAACGTGACCCAGGTATAAGCAAAGAAAGCATACAATACTCTGGCTTCATGCACATCCAAGGAGGCAAATTATACACCATTGAAATAACTGGCCATGTGCTATGAGATATGCTCATGGTCCGAAATGGATTGAACCCATCACTTGCTAAGCCAAGTCTCAAATTGCGAGAATCCCTTGCAAATTCTGAATGCAAGCTATCAAAGTCTTTCCATGCTTTTCCATCAGCAGGATGCCTTAACTTTCCATCTTTAGAACGCTCCTCGTCATGCCACCTCAATGTATCTGCTGTCTTTGAGCACATAAATAGCCTTTTAAGTCTAGGAATTAATGAAAAGTGACTCAAATTGTTTGCTGGAACACGATAACCTTTTTTGGAAGACTCAAGCTCGCTATCTACTTCATCTCTATCTACTTCAGTATATTTAATATATCGAGATGATCCACAAACATGACAATATTCATCATCCTTATGGTCATTCCTAAATAGCATGCAATCATTGGGACATGCATCAATTTTTTCATAATCAAGACCGAGATCCTTTACCATAGATTTGGATTTATTGTAGGATATAGGAATGTTCAAGTCAGGCATCTCCTTTTTAATAGCTCTAAAAGAGAAGTAAAAGACGCATTGCTCCATCCATGTAGACACTTCAACAAATATAGACGGATTGTAAAAGATAATCTAGAGAATCCTTTACAATCCGGATATAGTTCTTGGCTTGCCTCGTCAACTAAGTTATAAAATTTATTGGCATCTTTATTTGAGCCTTCATGCACTCCTCCAGCATGTGCAATATTTCTAAATTGATCATTCAACAACTCATCAATATCATCGTAAGAGTAAACATTATCATCCATTTCACAATTAACATTCACCGAAATTTCCCATTCCCCATGATTAATCCATCTTGTATAACCTTTAACAAACCCATAACATATTAGATGTTCATACACTACATTCCTTATAGTCCAATGAATATTACAATACTTTGCACATGGGCATTGAATTTCTTCGCCTTGATGATCTCCATAAGAGTAAGCAAAATCTAAGAAATATTGAACACCCTCGATATACTCTTTGCTATACCTTGGTAAATCCATCCATTCCTTGGATGGAACATTTGAATTCCTAAAAATAAAATTTATTAGATCTTCAAATATATAATCATTTAAGCATTAATTATATGGTAAAACTAAATCCTAAATGTCAAGAATAAATCTGTAAAATCATGTGTTGTAAAATAATAGGACTTTCTTACCTAGTCATGACACTTAAGCTAAGCCAAATACAACTTTAAGTCCACTGCAAATCTTTCCGAGCGTGACTTATCTTCTTGGATAAAAAAGTAAAATTAGGATCCACAAACACAAATCCAAGGAAATTAAAGCAATAAAAAGATATATTGTTGACCATGTCAATTTGCAACAAAAAAAGGTATCTACACATACCTAAATTGAAGAACATCTAAAGAATCTAAGAAGACAAGATCTTAGCTTGCAACATGAATTACTATTGCAAATTGGGTATTTGTACATTTAAAAATTTGACATGAAAAGGATCAGAAAGGGCATTAATTACTAAAAGAGGGAACATCAGAAAAATCATTCATGATACTACTAAAAAGAATGAACTGCTTATAACCTTTCTATATGAAGAAACAAGAAAAATATGAAATTTGTGCATACCCAAAAAAGAAAATGAGATTGGTGCAAAGGTGCAGAACAAGAAAAATATGAAATTTATGAGTACCCTGAAGCCATATATACTTGTAGTCAAAGAAGAAAGCACCTATTGCGAGCAGCTACTAGAAGAATATATACAACTTATAGTGATATCATAGCTACAAAAATATTCAAGTATTTCACTGTCAAACTTTACAACTTACTTTTCTTCCTTGAACTCTTCACAGTATATCTTTGTATAATCAATTACACATGAGTTTCTGTTAATTTCTTATAGCAAGAAGGAGGCTTCAGATCTTAAAAATCTGGAAAGGGCAACAGAAACCTTCAAGTGTTCTAACTCTTTTGATGTTTTGCTTAGTGTACATGAGTAAGGTGAGAAGGATTCTAGGAATATATTGTAATTGGTGTAGGGTGACATAGGTTTAAAAGATCGACAAACCAGATCTCCGAGCAGTGTAAAAGAGCAGCAAATTGCCAAGACTGCTGATCTTTGTTTAGTTACTTCAAAGGACATTGTTCCTACGCCTACACCTCATTTATCCAAGGAGTTAGTACCATGCCTTAACAGCAGAAAAGAAGCTCAGGACAATGACAATTTAGCTAAGGATTTGGGTATCCAATCAATTACCTCAAATAAAAATATGATGGAGGAGTATCTGGGCAAGCCAGTGTTGTGAAGAGCATAAAGCGAGGAAAAGCGACAAGCCCCTTTTCGCTTAAAGCGAGAAGCGAAGCGCTCACTTTTTTGAAGTGAAGCGGAATTTTTAAAAAAAAATTAAACTAAATACTGCATAGACAACTAACAATAAATGATATGAAAAAATGGTTGTAAGTATGCCAAAAAATGGTAGTATAACTGAAATGAAAAATGGGCAGCATTTCGCTGCAATTTATCACTAAAACAGTGTAAGAAAATGAAGAAGAAGAAGAGGAGAATGAGAAAAAGAAGAACTGAAGGGGAAATTTTTTTTTTTCTATCATTTCTCTGCTATTTAGACACTGAAACAGTGAAAGAAAAAGAAGAAGAAGAAGAAGAAGAAGAAGAAGAAGAAGAAGAAGAAGAAGAAGAAGAAGAAGAAAAGGAGGAGGGGGAGGAGGAAGAAATCACATACCTGAGACCAAACTTGATGATCTTGAAGTTAAATAAAGAGAGCTTTTTTAATTAATTAACGTTGGCAGCCCAGCTATAAAGAGAAGCGCTCACTTCTGTCACTTTGTTCGCTTCCTCGCTTCTCGCTTTTTCAGGGAAAGCGATCGCTTTTGTGTACCTGATACGCTTCAGATCAGAGAAGCGCCAGATGCCTCGCTTCGCATCGCTTCTCGCTTTAAGCGAGGAAGCGGTCTCTTTTAACAATACTGGGGCAAGCAAGCACACAACTCTACTACTCCTACACTACATTTTTCTAACACTCATATTGAACAAATTATTAAGGAGGCCCAGAAGGAAATGATGCTGAACACTGATATGGCTAAACAACCATTGATTACATTAAACACTTCTGTTTTTAAAGTACCCTCACAATCTTTAGAATCTTTTGGAGAACATGGAGATAATCATGAGCTATTGATCAATTTCCCAGATACAAAACAGCATGGGCAGAAGCAAACGTCAAGTACTAAGGTAGGGGATGATCAACAATTTGAAACATACTCACCTCCTGGACAGCAGCAGCATGTTGAAACTGTGCCAAAATCAGTTAAGGCAGTGACAAAAAATGGACAACAACAACAGATTTCATGCGCTCCAGCAATTACTTTGGAGGAAAGAAAATTACTGGATGCTATGGTAAGTTCCAAACCTTCAACTGTGTTAAATCCAACTGCGTTGACTGGATGCTATGGTCAAGTGGTATGATTCTCACATTAGGATAAAATCAAGTACTTTCCAATAAATTGATCCAAAGGATGCAACTTTAATTCGTTATGCACATATAAAAGAGCTCACAAGTCAATTTTGACCGCATACTACTGCCATGAGGCAGGTCCTAACTCGTCACATTTGATTCCTCAAAAAAAAAAATCCTCCACCTTTCCCACCACCAACCATGTCGCTTCCATTGGAATATGAACATATGACCTTGCTCTAACACTAATTGAAAAGATCCAAGCATACAATCGAAAAAATAAAGGCAATAAGTGAGCTAGCTTAAAATTTTTATAAGCTTTTCGGATGCCCTTATACCCTCGATAAGGAATGGCATATGTATCTAGCAAAAAACTACACTATTCTTCCCCCATGGAAAATGGCATATATCTTTAGCACAAACCAAACAAATTCTATCTAACAAGCAGCTGACCAAGAAAATATTGGATTTTGGTCTAACCAAAACTTTGAAGTCCCATCGATGAATGAATTCAAAGATAACAAAGCCGATTTGTAGAATTAGGCTCACAAATCTGCTAGGATTTTAAAATAAATTACTAATCTTGGAGACTAGAAGAGGAATAATTAATTTATAGTTCATTCTTTTCTGGAATAAGTATCAAATTAGATAGGCAACTACCGCAATCAGAGACCATAAGATGGTAAAATATTGAAATAGAAGAGCACCAACCTGAGATTCAAGAATTCCCGTTTCTCTAGCTTTATAAATTTCTTCAATCTGGAATGAGGAGGGCGAGAAGGTGCAAAACAGTACCTAAGAGAAAGGGGAAACGAGAATTCTTCCTTTGAGACGATAGTTTGAAAACAATAACACTAACCCAAAGTAGGGTGAGACGGTGCAGAAATTAACAGTACCTAATCTGGAAGATTCGTTAGTATCCACAATTGAAGCCAGAAACCCTAATCCACAGAGATTTTAGCGAGGAGAGTATTGCTAAAGTATAGCGAGGAGAGTCTTTTGCCCTTTTGAAATTGAAAAAAATAATATTTCACCTAGAGTATATCGGAGGGAACATTATATTTTTTGAAAGGAATATTATATTTTAGCCAAATATTTTGTTGGACTTTTAGAGCACATTTATAAAGTGTTGCTTTTCCAATTATAATAAGAGCATGCTTAAAAAGAGTGCCACATACTCAAGTAAATGTTGCCAATTACTTTATAATTTAGCAACGTTTAATAAGTGTGGCCTAATAAATTAAAGAGTACATTTTACAAGCATAGCCAAATTTTCCGTTTCCAAAAGCTCCATACAAATGCCACCCCTTAAAAGTGTGCCCACATATATTTTTGGGCACACTTTTCAGGCGTTGTCTAAAACTAGTGTGGCATTAGACCATAATTGTCGTAGTAGACCATGAATGTTGTCTTCGGGCGATGAAGATGATGTCCTTAGACCATGATGCTCTAGGCCATAAAGAATATGATAAGGGATTCTCAGGCCATGAAATTATGTTCTCGGGCTATGAGGATATTGCCTCCTGTCGTGCCCCCTTTTTCCTTGCGGAAGCGGGTTCATGACATTTGGAAGGACAACTCATTCCCTTTTAGGAATTGGGTTTGGATTGAAGAGTCGCCACCTAAATATTTGAGTGCATTAGGACACTAGGAAGAATTTGATTTAGGAAACCAGAGATTGGGTAAGGGCTTGAAATTATTCCGAGGGGAAGGTGTTAGGCATCTCTCAAGATCCACTAATGTGGTTTCCGGCCAGGCTACGGTTGTGACTTTAAGTACAAATAACATGAAGGCGAGTAAGACTTCAAATAAGAGGGGATTTTCACATAAGGGTTACAAAGAGGTGAAATTAAAAGAAAACAAAAGAAAAGTTGAATTTTGAGAAAATAGTTTGAAAGTAAACAATGAAATAAACAAGTAAAGGAAAAGGGGGTCCTAGATTTATAAATAATATAGATTATCCCACACAACATCCAGTAATCACTCCTCAATGAGGGGCTACACAAGATGTTATCGCGTGGTCACATATCCATAACTACCTTTCCCACCCTATTAAGATATTAAAGAGCGGATTGGTCTCGGTGACTTATTGCATGCTATTACCCGTCCCATTCCTATCAGTCCTGGAGGCACTTAGGGCTACTAATCCTAAAGAGAAGGTGTATTAGGCTTTGTAGTTTCAAAGGCAAAATTCTAAGGCGACAAACAAAAAACACATGTGACAAGTTTGGGGAGAAAGCACATAAGTAAATAAGGCTCATCAAACCTCCTTAAAACCAAAGAAAAACACATAGTTTAGCATGTCTTGCACATACTGCCTAGGGTCTGATTAAAACTTAAAAGGTTGAGGCAGACTAATTTATTACATATTTCAGATAAGAAATTTGAATCAGGCCTGCCTGCTGGTTGTAGTTAATAAGAATCTGACAAGTTTACCTTATGGTTTGCCTAATTGTTATACGAAGACCTATATGCATGCTATCTACTGATTTCAGAAATGAAGAGATAAACGGATTACAAATAGGTTAGAATAATACAAATTCTGCAATCGATAATGCATTACTACTGACAGTTTAAACTTACAAGCGAGTGAAGCGATTTAGATTTGATTAGAACCCTTATAGGCATGCTTTCTATGTGTTTGTTAACTTAAAACACGCTATCTCGGTGCTGCATTTTATTATGAATGCAATATCTGATTTCACTGGTTGTTAAAACCTATAACATGTTTGCCTAATGAGAGGCGTGTATGCAAGAATTAGAAAGGACTTATAGGCATATTATCTACATGCATGTGCATCCTATAGACATGGTATCTATATACGAATGCAGAGATTCTTATAGTCATGGTATCTAAATGGGAATGTAGAAGTTCTTATAGTCAAGTTATCTACATGAATGCAGAAATTCATAAAGACAGGTTATCTTCATAAATGCAGAAATGCAGAAATTCCTATAGACAAGTTATCTATGTGCATGTAGAAATTAATAAGCATGTAGGCAAGTTATCTATGTGAATGCAGAAATTAGAAATTTCTATGAGCAGGATATCTACATGAATGCAGAAGTGCAGAAACTATAGGCAAGGTATCTATATAAATGCTGAAGTGCAGAAAACCCTATGAGCAGGACATCTACATGAATGCAAAAGTGCAGAAACTATAGGCAGGGTATCTGTATAAATGCAGAAGCGTAGAAACTATAGGCAGGGTATCTGTATAAATGCAGAAGTGCAGAAAACCCTATGAGCAGGACATCTAACCCTTGCATGCATGGTTATCCCTCCCTTTTCACTAATCACCCCAAAAATTTATTACAAAGTTATTACAATCCAAAAATAAAATAGAGAAAATACATCAGAAAATTGAAAACGACAACCAAGGAGAGCCTAATTCAGACTTCCTGTCTGAAGTATGAAGTAAACCAACTCCCAAGATCAAGACCCAAAGCCTTTCTCTCATTTGGATGAGTCAGAGTTCCCTAAGAGCTTCATATGGACTCTGGGCAGTGCTCACATCCAAGTGCATTGCAGGATTAGGTCATAGTGCAGTGTGGAAGGGCCAGCCCTCAAGTGTCCAAGTTCAGAGGGAACTCAAGGTCCCAAGGCAAGGCTCACAGGAGGGGACAAAACTTAGAATCTAAGAGCGAGTGCTAGTGCAGAGTTCTGAGAGAGGGGAAAGGGGAAGTGGCAAAGAAGCAAGGAGAGGCTAGTGGGCATACCCAGTAATGGAAATTGCTGGCACACCCCACAAGCCTATTAGAACACATTGTTTTAGAGGTTAGGATCCCCTGAGGGATCAAGCTCAAACCATGAACAATAACTTGCATATTTCCATGTTTTAAACTATAACTCAAAGAACATAAAGGGAAACAGGGGCAGGGATTCACAGTAGAAACAGGCAAAAGAAATTAACATGCTAGTTAAATATTCAACTTTGCAAAAGTAGTAAAGTAGACATGGATACATAAAAGCTGTAAATAAATACATTGTGATGATGTTGAAACTTAAATTAGGACATACCAGTTTCAACGAAAACAAACAAAGAAAAGTAGTAGGTCTTGTAGACAGGCCATAATGCAGACAAGAAGAGAATGTTATTATGAGAGAGTATGAGTTCAGAAGGATTCTGATGTCTAGTGTGTGAAAGAGGACTGTGCCTTTTATAGTGTAGAAATCAGGTATAAATAAGGTAAGAAAATAGTTAAAGCACTGATTGTCAATCAATTACACAAGGCTTCCCTTAATTAAGGGATTCAGATTCAAACGGGTAAAACCATTTAAGGAAAGGAATTAATCAAACACTTTGTACAAAGTAGGCAATTAGGGGTGAATACATAAAAGTCATTTAAGGACAGGGTTTTGATAATACACGGTTTGTGCAAATAAGGTAAAAAGATCAATTAACAACTAGTAAATCAGAGGGTCTGAGACTTTGTTATGAATGAACCAGGTCAGAAAGATAGGGAAGGTTTTAACTTAAGGAAAATTAGCAAACAATGGAAGGAAATCAATCACACCAAAATCAGAGGGAAGCACGAACTAATCACAAAATTTGAAAGTCCCTTTAGAGGGAGGTTCATCATACATAAGGAGCATGTGAGCATGAAAGAAAATTGTCATGCCATTGTAAAATCAGTAGAAAATTCAGTGTAAAAGAGTTTAGCAAAAGAGTCAGAATCATATGCAAACAAGGAAGTCCAAACTCAGTTCAGAGACTCAAACTCAGTCTGAAAGAATTAGGGATCTTTTGAAATAAAAACCCTAGCTAGGGCAAATCACAAAGCAAAGATGAGAGGGCAAGCAATTGAATCGAAACATGTTTTGAAGTTTCAGAAAAGAATTAAAACTTCTTCATGCTTCTTTCAACAACAGAACTCATGAGAAAACATGATAGCAAAGTAACATGCAAACACAGTAGAAGGATTCAAAGAACATAATGGAAAATACTACTAAGAACAGTAGAAGAAATATGCTAGACGAAACCTAAACAGGGCTCAACAGAAGGCTAATAAAGAAACTTAAGAACTTAGTAGGAAAATACAGTAGAAGAACACAAGGACACCGGAAAAGTACAGCAGAAAAACATATAGGAAAACATAGTAAGATAAACATATAAGAACATGGTAAAAAATACAAGATCACATTGGAAGCAAATACACATAAAGGAAAAAGAAAGTCAGAAAATACTTAAACATTTTCTCAGAAAACCCTAGATCGGAAAAGAAACGGTTTTGAAAGTAATTTTTTGAAAGAAAGTTAGGGAAATAGTTTGAAAACTCAAGGAGAGAATAGATACACAACGGATCTAAAGAAATCGGAGAAAACCTTAAAGGGTTGGGATTTCAGAAGAACCCTAGAGACGAGAAAAGCTTTGAAAGATCACCGATTTGAGTCGGAGGGGTCAAAATCAGGCTCAAACCACCATGGAATGCCGGAACAAAGCCGGAGAGGGCCATGGAACCTTGAATCGGCAGAGGCCTAGGTAAAAACTTTCTAGGTCAGACCTCGAATCTTCAAGTATCAAGTGTATAAGAGCAAAGTGAGGTGAGTATAGGGCTCCCATGGCCCGAGAAGCCATGGATTCCGGTGGTTTCAAGGTTGAAGACGGTGAGAGGAAGCTAGGGTTAGGGAATGTTCGAGAGAGTTTGACAGAGGGGAGGGGTTTTAGGGGCGGCTGGTTAGGTGTAATGAATTAGGGTTGGGGGGTGTTTGTGAATTAAAAAAGGAAAGGGAGAATTGTGGCCGTTGATCAAAATGATTAACGACCTGGATCACAAGGGAAGGCCAGGAGGGTAAAATATAAACAGGTTAGGGGCGGGTTAAATGAAACTGGGTCGGTCCATTTGGGGTTTGAAATTGGGTTAATTGGGGAGGCTGATTTGGCTAGAATCGAAATAGTTAGGGCTAAATTTTAAATAGCCACTTTTTCCCTTTTTATTTTATAAAAAATAGTAAAATAATTTCTGGAAACAAATTAAAGGTACCAAATTTACTAATAATGTACAAAAAATTAAATTAAGAATACT